CACTTTAGTAAAATGATGCTTCATGAACAGCTACATGCATATGTACCAGTCTGAAAGTGATACCTCCAGATTGCAAAAGTTTGTGACCTCTTGAGTTACAAATTTACAAGCACAAGGATGAAGAAAATATAAAGGGAAAGAAGAGAAGAATGCACCAAGCTGCGTCTGCGTGACTACTGTAGCAATTAGCAGTGTAATCATGCATCAGCAAGTCTTCTGAAAATCTCTCCGATTATAGTAGGTGGTTAAGGCCCGGTTTAATGAAATGTCTCCAAAGTGGCAAAGCTAGGAGATAGTACATTTGTAGCGAGAAAATAATTACAGAAACAATCTTTAGAAATGCATGCTTCAGTTCAGAGTAGTTGTTTCAAGAAACCAAACAACCCATTAAAAAATGCCAACTACAAATTGAGTAGCGGGCTTCAGAATTCTCGGAAGTCAAAATTGATTCATGCAATCTGTACACACTTGAAACCTACACCCCGTAGTCCGTGAACAGTTGAGGAAACTTGGTATGTGCAATCTGTACACACTTGAAGCAGTCAAGCAGCAAACAGAAAACTGAATATGAAGCTCTTTGCAATGGTTTACGAAAAGGAAAATCACATGAGTATGAGGTACACTGCACTGGAAACTGAACATGAAGCAGGCCCATCCATGGTGTTTCATGGAACCAGATTTCCTTCGCTGCTCCTCGTCTTGCATGTTCTTGCAAAAAATATAGAGTATGGGGATACACCGAACTGGTGGCTTGATGTTAGGTGTTAAGATAAAATAAACCTGATCAAAGTTCGCCCGCGTGGTGGCGAGGGCCCCAATGTGGCGGTGGTGGCGGCCCGCTCTTGCATCTGTGGGGCAGCAGCCGACCCGCGCTCATGTCCGTGTGGCAGATTCGAAGGAGCGGCGGGGCGATCCATGCTCACATCCGTGAGGCAGAAGAGGAGAGCAGCCGGCGGCGGCGGCGATCCGCTCGCATCTGTGAGGAAGCAGCGGTGGGCGGGACGTTGGCCGTGCGCAGCCGTTCGTCTGGCAGAAAAGGAGCGTTGGCAGAGGAGGAGCAGCGAGCGGCGGGCGGCGGGGGCAGAAGGCGTGCAGGCAGTTTCTATTTTTGTTGAGGCGTGGCGTGCGGATAGTTTGATGATGACGAGCGGTACGGGGATTAGATCGGTTGATCAGTGGCTTGTTGCCTTAAACACAGAGATGTTTTAGACCCTTGGATGGGCTAGATAAACGGTTCTGGTTATTTGGATCTGCCCCCTCTCTTCCTTTTATAGGGGTAGTAGATAAGCATTTGTAGCTAAGAATGGATCGATCAAACTGTGACAAAGAAACAAAATTGTGTACAGAGTTGTAGTAAGGAACCAAAATCAAAGGGGTTCCAAACCTGGGTTGGGGAAACCTATCAAACTTGCAACCTGAGCAAGCTAAAAAGGCGATGAAATCAATGCTCTCACCTAAAGCAAGGAGGAAGCTTGCGTGTGGTTGACAGTGAGGTGCAGAGGTTGTGGTTGTTGAACAATCACACATACAAAATTTAGGATTTTCTATTCCGTTGTGAAACACATACCTTCAATAATGAAAGAGTGACATTGCAAGACACTGGATATTACAATACATTTCAATTTAGCATCTAGAAATTGTTCTCCCGGTGTCACACCTGCAGGCATAGAAATATAGGACATCGCGGTGAACAATTTGAATAATATATTCTTATTGAAGTACAGTGAGAGCAAAACATAGCACACAAAGCGTAAATAGCAGACCTGAATATTCCAGCAGGAGTATTCAACTATTAATGGTAAAGACAAATGAACAGGTTTGCATTTCATTGAAGATGCTCTAGCCATAGGGTTAAATTCATTTGAAAAATCTGAAAACACACAGTTGTAAACCATTGCCTACGGAACTGAACACACATATCCAAAACACCTGAAATCGGGTTTCCATAATTCTTTGTGGTACACAGCTAAATTGTAAACTTATTCATATATTTCATTGCTTATTTGATTCTACAAAGAAATTTTTGGACACCATTGAGGACATCAACACTATAAGAGTGTGATGCATACTGTGTATATATTCCTAGAGCATATGTAAGTATCATGAGTAGGCGTATTCTTCAGATCTTTAAATGGGGAACGCTCGGCTGATCCTAACGCAGACGGACGATGATTCCTCATCTGTGACATGTATTGGGGAACATCCTAAATTAGTAGAATGACAAAACAATGGTACATAGGGATCTTAAGAGTAGGTATGCGGAGCTGTGATGTAATATTGAGAAGCTTAATTCTTAAATCCTAAATCAGTCCAATGACAAAACGATGCTACACAGGGATCTTAAGAGTAGGCATGCGGAGTTGTCATGTAATATTGAGAAGCTCAATTCATAAATGTTTGAGTAAATCAAACTGTTAAGTGTTTTAGTAAATCTGAAACTGTGACAAAATGGACCTTAGATGCAGGGAATGGTGATGAGTGGGAATGGTGATGAGTGGGAATGGTCTGAACCTGTATAAATAAAGTAGGTGTTCTTAGGGAGGAGGCAAAAATAGTAGATATAAAATATTGTGAGTGAGATTGCCTAAATATCTTAGATCAGAAAGCTCAGAATCTTCTGGGTGGTAATTTTCGTGCCACCCAAGGAATGTGCAGAATTTTGAGAGCATTGAAAAGGTAATTGGAGTGACAGCAAACAATTTGTGAACCATACAAAGAGCTTAAATACTCATAAATCAGATTGAGCTTAAATACTCATAAACCAGACTCTAACCCTTTTAGTGCTGGGTGTGGCATTGGCGTTGGATCATGATAATTCACCTGCGGCAATTGTCCCAGAATAATGGTGGTTAATTTTGTTCGCTGTGTGGAAGGATCATCTATGCACTAAAATAATCATAACCAGAAGGATCATGTATGCATCAGATTGTCTTGTGTGGAAGGAACATAACCACAAGCATGCTGTTCAAACAATTCACAATTCAATGTAAAGAAAACTTACTGGCTAGATGAGGTCGTTGTCGGCAGCAGAGGAGGACACCGCCACCCGGCCGCGCTCGCGTTTTTCCGAGTGGCAGCAGAGGAAGGCCGGCGGGATGCTCGTGCTCTCCCACCTTGTTGGGGCAGCAGAGGAGGACCGGCGGGCGACTGCTCATGCTCGCGGCGGAGGAGAAGAGGATGGGCGGGAGGAGGGCGGCGGAGGCGGCAGAGGACCGGCGGGCGGCGGAAGGTGGGCGAGGATGAGCGGGAGGCGGGAGAGGATGGCGGGCGGCTGCAGACGGTCGCGGCGGCTCCGGCTGTCCCGCGGCGACGGGCTGTGGCGGCTCCCCCGGTGCGCGACGGGTGGCGGCCTCCAGCTGTCCCAGGGCGAAGGGCGCGACGGTCAGCAGCGACTCCCGCAGCGAAGGAGGGTGGCGCCCGCGGCGGCGGCTCCGGCTGTCCCGCGGCGAAAGGCGCGACGGTGGGCGGCTCCCGCAGCGAAGGAGCGACGGGCGGCGGACGGCGCGGGGAGGAGCAAGAGGGGGCGAGAGGTTGTGCGGAGGGGGCGAGAGATCGTGCGTACAAGTTTTTTAAAGGGCGTGGCTGGTTAGCGATCGATTAAGGGTGGGTTAGCGATCGATTAAGGGCGTGGTTGGTAGCGTTAAACACAGAAGGATTAAGAGCCATTAGATTTGGATGATGAATGGATGTGATTGTTTGGATCTGCCCCTCTCTTTCTTTTATGGTAGTAGTAGATTATACTCAACAGCCTCCACCACTGCCGCCATGGTTGTTGTTGTAGTGGCCACCGACGCCGCTATTGTTGTAGCTGCTGCCGCCGTTGTTGTTGTAGCCGCTGTTGCCACCGCCGTTGTTGCTGCCTCCGCTGCTGGAGCCCCTGCCGCTGGACTTGGGGCGGCCACCGCCACCACGGTAACCCTTGGAGGGCCCTTGTCGGCGATGTGATGGGAGAGGAAGCTCTGATACCATGTTGGATTTGGTGGAAGCGTCTCAACACCCATACATGGGTGCCCGCGTAGTATTTATTGATAGATCGAGACTTTGGGTCTCGTAGTATTATTGAGGGCTACGGTTGTTGAACCGTGAGGATGAATACATGGAGGGATAGAGAGATAGAAAAATAAATGAAATATATCTCTAACTACTTCTGATTCCACAACTGCCTGATTCTATACGTGAGAGACAAGCTCAAGGCTGTCATGTCACGTGGTACAAAATATCTCCAACATATAGAACCAATAGCCTGCAGAAAAAGGAAATGCAATCTTGAATTATTGGTTGTCATATGACCACAGTTTGCCTGGATTGGTTCAATCCAGCCCCAATCTGTTGACGTATAATATGCTGCCTAGTCTCTTCCATCAGATCGGTCTTTTGGTTGCATTGGCTAGAGCATGTACTTCTACATGGTATCAGAGCCAAGAGGTCTTGAGTTCAAGACCCGGCTGGCGCAATTAAATTGCAGCCCACTTTCGGTCCACGTTTAGGCCTGAGGGAGCCACACGTGAGGGGGAGTGTTGACGTATAATGTGCTGCCTAGTCTCTTCCATCAGATCGGTCTTTTGGTTGCATTGGCTAGAGCATGTACTTCTACACAATCTAATACGAATATTTATATCTTATTGTTTGAGCTTAGGAAATGAAAACATACCACATACAACAAACTTTAGTCTGCTGTCAAATCCAGTAAGCTCATTTGCCAAATGAACAATCTAGATCTACTTTTTGGGTGCATTAATCCTCAGAGTATCTCCAGCAATGCCCCTAGTCAGGCCCCCAAATCAGTTTTTGAGGCCGGAGGAAAAAAATAACTATCCAAACACCGAAATAGCCCCCCCCCCCTTCCCAAGCATCCAGTCCTTGTGTCAGGTTAATTAAATCCAATCGGGATAAAAGATTTTGCCCCCATCTAGCCTGTAGGGACTATTGCTAGAGATGTTTGTCACGTTGTACATATCTTTTTTTCTCAGTTAGGTCTCATGTTTTCTACTTTTCATCAGGCTTTCAAGTCCAAATCCAAGGACTTATATTGGTTCAGGGAAGGTTGCTGAAATTAGGAGTGCAGTTCAGGCCCTTGATATTGAGACTATAATTTTCGATGATGAGTTGTCTGCTGGGTGAGCTCACATCAGACTCAACGTGTTTATTTTATCTACTGAAGCTATTGCAATCAAAGAACTGTTTTGTGTTGAAATGAGAAAAATATTACTCTCTCCGTTTGGAAATGTGATGTGTACTTTGACTATTGAATATCAAACTCTGGCTAACAATTATGATCCAGTAATATGTGGGTTTGTTACACACAATTGATATCATTGGACTTGTATTCAAAAGTACCTTTTATGACTGAACGTTGTAACGATTCAAAAATGCTGTACAAGAATTATAAGGTTAGATTTCAAACTTTGCACGGTCAAACTCTGCCCTGCATTTCCAAACGAAGGGAATACCACTCTATCTTTTGTTCGGTTTGCAATTTACGGTATGCTTGGTTGCTGCCCAATTTTATCCCACCAAAATTATGGTAGGATATGTTACTTCAACTCTTGCTTGGTTGGTCGCCAAGATCTTGGTTGCCTATGGAATCTCGCCAACTTTTCTCACACTCTTTTCATAAATCTTGCCAACTTTTGGGCCAATAAATGGTCAAGGAATTAGCAAATTGTTGGCCAATTTTGGTAGGGCATTGTTATGGCATGAACCAAACATACCCTTAGAGTGCCTCTGTTTATCTTCACTTCTGCGCCCCGAGGTTAAACACAAAGAAAAAAAAAGAGAAGTCTAGTTATCTTTGTTAAGCTTCATGCACTAGCCAATCCACGCACTTCAACACCCCTCTCACGTGTGACGCGGGAAGTCAACTCGTGAATAGACCAAGTGGTACGACTCAAGAGGCCTATACATGGAGAGAGAGGGGACAACAACAATTTTTGGACATATTACGAAATCTAAGACTTGAACTCAAGACCTTAGGCTCTGATACCATGTTAAGCTTCATGCACTAGCCAACGTAATCAAAAGTCCAAACTGATGGAAAGGGCTAGGAAATCCACATATACACTTCAACAATCTTGTCCTGAGAGTTTATTCCTTGATTATTTGCTCAATTTTAAACAGACAGCTGCGTAACTTGGAGAAGTCCTTTGGTGGAGGTGTTCGAGTCTGTGACCGGACTGCTCTTATTCTGGACATTTTTAATCAAAGGGCAGTGACACATGAAGCTGCTCTGCAGGTAAACATAACAAATAGGTGTTAAGCGGTCCTTTAAGGTATTCTGTGACTGCTGCACTAAGTGATCCTATAAGATATTTTCTGAGGTTATGACTTCTCACCAATATTCGGATAACATGGAAAATGATCTTTTCAATACACTACTGGTGTAGTAGTGTATGTCCCTTGCCCCCTTTACATTTATGAATGCTGAGTGGGTATGCTGGGCTGTTAGGTTGCCATAAGGTAAAACATTTCTCTGGCATACTATCTTGAAGACGAAGTTGTACCAGCTCATCACCGTTTTGATGACATGATATTTGGAACTATATTGCTATTTGTGAACATCTGAAGTTATGTGCATAACTCTGTATCATCATCAGACTAAATTTCTACATAAACATTTAATGTGCGGACTTAATTGAGATATCTTTACAGTGGAAAGTAACTTCATTTGCTTTGGAATTGATGCACAAGTCCGATGTTTCCTTTTTAGGTCACCCTGGCACAAATGGAATATCAACTTCCTAGGTTGACAAAACTGTGGACTCACCTTGAGCGGCAGTCGGGAGGCCAAGTCAAGGGTATGGGTGAGAAACAAATTGAAGTTGACAAGCGCATCTTGAGAACACAAGTAATATTCTTGTTCTTACAGTTAGATAATTTATATGCGAACTGCCAAATACGAAACCACCAAGGTTCAAAATACTCCAATGCTTTAAGGACATTTAATTGTTCAATAGAGGAATAATGTTCTTATTCTGTACCTTTTTTTTGTGCCATGGAATCTGATCTCATCTTTTACTAGTTAAGATCTTCTCTATCATGTAAATTGTATCAGGGTGTGTATACAGTTCAATATATGTAACCAGAACATAGCCAGAGATGCTCCATTTCTTGTTTATTAAGTAGTTCGAGCAATGTAATATGTGTGACTTCATCATTTTGTAACCACCTATTGCCCATTTGTTAATTACATGTCACTTTCACCATTGTTGTGTAGAAGAAATGATGATTTGTAGCCATGTACTAGTTACGCACGAGTTCCTCGTGTTAATGTCTGAGAAACTTGTATATAATTTTGTTACTTCCTCCGTCCGAAAAAGCTTGTCCCAAGCTTGTCCCTTAAATGGATGTATCTAGCACTAACATGATGCTAGATACATCCATTTGAGGGACAAGCTTTTTCGGACGGAGGAAATACTTACTCTAGTTGCACTTCCTGTTCTTTTTCTGGAATTGATGATTTTCGAACCTAAGTATCTTCTGTAGATAAGCACTTTGAGGAAGGAATTGGAGTCTGTCCGAAAACATCGAAAGCTTTATCGCAACCGTCGACGGTCGGTGCCTATTCCTGTTGTTTCTCTGGTATAACCATGGAATTTTTGTTGAGTCTAATAGGAAGGTCCTTTTAATTATTAGTTATTAATAGATAAAGTTTCCAAAAAAATCAGGTGGGATATACAAATGCTGGAAAAAGTACACTCTTGAACCGCTTAACTGGAGCTGATGTGCTCGCTGAGGATAAATTATTTGCCACACTAGACCCAACAACACGGAGGGTGTTGGTATGTTGCTAAGAAACTGACATCTCAAGGAAACTTAGATATATGACACTTTTAAGTGTCCGTGCAAGGTACGACGTCTAATCAGTGCATGGACCACTTTGCAGATGAAGAGCGGCACTGAGTTCCTCCTAACAGATACTGTCGGGTTCATTCAGAAGCTACCCACTATGCTGGTATGCTTTCTAGACATCATCTTCGTGAACAAGCTTTATTGTGGCCCTCCTCCCCTTTATGATCTTCTGAGCATTAACTATTGGTGCTTGTCCAGGTGGCAGCATTTAGAGCAACACTGGAGGAGATATCAGAATCATCAATTATTGTTCATCTTGCAGATATCAGGTGTGCAACTAAAATACTCCCTCTGTCCCGGAATATATAAACGTTTTTGACACTATGCTAGTGTTAAAAACGTTCTTATATTTTGGGACGGAGGGAGTACAAAAGATATTCTCATCATTATGATTCAATTCAATGCATCTATTTAGGTATCATAGTGTTTGTGTCATGTGTGTTCCAGCCATCCATTAGCTCAACAACAGATAGGTGCTGTTGACAAAGTACTGAAAGAGCTGGATATAGACTCGGTTCCGAAGTTGGTTGTGTGGAATAAGGTTCGTTGTTAGGAGTGACCTATACTGACAACAATCTAATCGCTTTAAGCTAATTTCAAGTGTTAGTACATGTCAAATTTTAAGCTTCCAGCTTGTGTTTGCTCTAAATTTTTTTTCGAGCCAGGCATAACCCCTTTCCATTACTTAGCATAACGGAAATACAAATAGTTTTAAGAGTTCAAAAGGAGACCTAGAAAGGGGAAGCGAGCTCAAAGCACCACTGGGAAACCCACAATGAGCACTCGTCATCGAGCAGCTCACCATGGGGCGAAAACCCAACGACACCCTAAAACCAGCCGACTAACTCTAACCAGGAGAATTCCAACAAGTTTTAGGAGGGTTACTCCAGACATAAACCATGAGCCCACGCAGGGGCGAAAGGACTATTTTTCCAGATATAGTTAAGCACTCACGCAGGAGCAAACGAACTATCTATCAGCAGCAAACGCTTCAGCTCTCAGTTTGAGGTTCCCCTCGGCGCTGCACAGATCCGCATCATGTTCGATGCATTGGTCCTCAGCATCTTGGCTCCGCGCTCCATCATCAAACCTGCCCAGTAGGTAAGAAAACCACATGCAGAGTAAACCACATCAAAAGGCGACCTCATCTGTTTAGACTCAAAGGTAACATTGTTACGATTAATCCACATCGCCCAACATAAACCTGCTAGACCAAAGGTATAAAATTTCTCCCCATCAGGTAAAAACATGTAAGCCCATGAATAGTACTGCCAAATGTTACTTGGACACAGATCCGTGCCCAGTACACAGCCTACAGTCCTCCAGAGGACTCTGGCCACAGGGCAAGTGAAGAAGAGATGCTGGGATGTTTCTCTCTCCGCACAGAAGGAGCAGGTAGGATTTCCCAGCCACTTTCGTCTACTCATCACATCTCTAGTTAGGATAGCGTCCTGAAACAGTTGCCAAAGGAAAATTTGAATTTTAAGGGGAATTTTTGCTTTCCATATCCACTTGTAGTTTGCCCCCGCCACATTTCTTTCCAAATATTCATAAACAGATTTCGTAGTAAACCTACTTTTCTTCCCCAAGGTCCAGACCACTTGGTCGGCTTCGCCAGTCATCGGCCAAGTCCCCACTATAGATTTGATATTATTCCATTGCTCAAGCATGGGAGGGTGGAGTTGCCTTCTAAAAAAGTTTTTTTCCTCCACCCCTTCCCTGAACTTAGCAACCGTGATATCCTGATCATTGCAAATATCATAAATCATAGGAAACTGCAACTGGAGGGGAGGTTCATTGCCAACTGGATCAACCCACAGTCTAGCAAGATCTCCAGATTGTAAATTCACTTTTCTGCCAGCCAGGTAGTAATCTTTAGTTTTCATGATTGCTTTCCAGATTGGCGAGTCATTGAATTTAGTTTTGACAGAGGTCACCGTGTCTTGCTTAAAGTACTTGGCCCGGATCACATCCTGCCATAGCCCTTGTTTAGTTTCCAGCTTCCACCACCACTTGGTGAGGAGGCTTAAATTCTGTTTATGAAGATCCTTGACTCCCAGTCCCCCTTTCTCTTTGGATCTACAAATTCTATTCCATCTCACTAGATGGTATCGTTTACGCCCCTCATGTTCTTGCCAAAAGAACCGCTTACGGTGTTTATCCAGTTTCTCAATCACCCCTTTAGGAAGAAGGAACATAGACATATAGTAAAAGACAATGCTAGTTAATGAGGAATTGAGAAGGATGAGCCTCCCACCCGAAGATGCTGCATTACCAATCCAGGATTCACAGCATTTAAGGAACCTCTCATCCATAAAATCCCAGTCTATGCTACGCAAAGAAGAGAAACTGACTGGGACTCCCAAGTATTTCATTGGAAAATGTCCAATACTACAATTAAAGAGATCAGCATAAAAGGAAAGGGTACTATCATCTCCACCGACACAGAGGATTTCGCTTTTCATAAAATTGATCTTCAGTCCTGACATAAGTTCAAACAGGTACAATAGAAGCTTCAGATTCACAGCCGCTTCCTTATCATGTTCAAAACATATTACAGTGTCATCTGCATATTGCAGGATAGCCACACCCCCCTCAATCAAGTCAGGTGATAAGCCCGTCAGCATTTTCTCTTTTTGTGCATTAAGAACCATTTTCGAGAGTGTCTCTACAGCCAGGTTAAAAAGGAAAGGAGAATGGGGATCGCCTTGCCGGACCCCCTTGTGACTTTGGAAATACGCACCTGTTTCATTGTTCAGTTTAATGCTCACCATGCCATTATGTAGGATTCGTTCGATCCATCCACACCAGGTTGCCCCAAAGCCACGATTACGATGACTTTCTAGCAGGAAGTCCTAGTTTATCTTATCGTATGCTTTTTCAAAGTCCAATTTTAATACAATCCCACATTTTTTCTTTTGATGAGTGTGATGCAACACCTCATGTAGCCAATTCTTTTATATTTCTATGCTTGATAATCGTGGCACATGTCGTAGCCAATTCTGCAAGGAAATCATTTTTTCTCTCTTTTTGGGCTGCCCCATATACCACCACTAGGGTCCACACACATTTGAGGTTCACATCAAAGACAGTAGTCTGCATAAGGAATTCACCCCCCGACCAGGAAATAATCTCCAAGGTTTCTCTCCTAGTCCCACACAATATGCCTCCAGACTTACCAATCGAAGGGATCCAGTTCCAATTGAACTTATCAAGAGGGTCAATTTTTCTAAGGAGTTTAGGGGTGAAATTCTTCTTCTTAGTTTCCTGGATACCAAGGAAGTCCAGGGAATGATCTTTTATTATATCAGCGAAGCAGGTAGTCATCCCTTTCTTACCTGCTCCCCTGCAGTTCCAAAATATACCGTTCATTTTTTCTTTTTGACACCCCCCTGCCTGGTGTTTCTACTAGGAAGCAGAGTAGATCCACCGGCAACATTTTGCAAGGAAGCCCCCCCTTTTTGACTTCTAGTGCAAGGTCTAGCTATCACCACATTAATCTTTCTCTCTCTTTTCTTCCTAGATCGGACCACAACAAAGTTATCATTATCCACATCACTATTATCCTCCCAGTTCATATTAAGAGGAGTCTGGTCCCCTTTTGCATTAGTTAATACCAAATGTCCCCCACCCACATCAGGTTGAGTCTGTTTGTCCTTAACAGTTTCCACATTTCTACATTTTTCTAATTCTCTAATGATATCAACATTAGTAAAATCAGCATCTGGGATGTTTACTCCCATTTTCACAGCTCTGAGAATAAGTTCAGGATTAGATAGCGTATCAAAAGAGTTGGGGACTCGAGGAGTACCTTCGATGTCTCTCTTTTTTGCAGCTGCCCTGGCCTTTTCGTCAACCCTCTCCATCTTGTTCTGTGCATTCCTCAGACTGAACCGAAGATTTTCTTCAGTGACCGGGGGAGGAGCAGGGATCATTTCAATATCCCCCTCCATATCAGGAAACTCCACTCTGTATTCATTATTTTTGGCCGTCTTGGCCTCCCCAACCACCTTCTCAACCTGCTGATTTTTTTTCACAATATCAGAGTAAGATTTTTTGTTTTTTTGCATACTTATAACAGCAGAATTTTCATTTTGTTCTCTTACTTTTTCATCCATTGTCTCTTGATTGAAGGAATCTAAAAACAAGGTCGTGTGTTGTGACTCATCAGATTCCACACTCTCCTGCGACTCCCGAATAGGGTCCTGTTTTTCCCCCTGGGGAATGCAGGGAGATTTCCCTCCAAGCCCAGTGGAAAAACTACCCAGGTTAGCTCCAGGAGTCGACAGCAAGGAATTTTTCATCTCCATATTTTTTTCACCAGGATTAGAGGAAGCTTGAACAACTTTTTTCTCTCTATTAGGATCCCTCACCAGAATCTGATCCACTTCAGAAAAGAAATCATAAAAATGATCACCAAGCACAGCCTCTGCGACTGCAGGAATCTCCTCCACATTTCTACAACCAATCCGGACCCTGACAGATGCCGGACGGTGCAAGGTAGCAGCATCTACTTCCAAAGGAACACCCACCAGCGAGGCAACATAAGCTAGATTCCTATTACTCCTTTTGTCCAGAGGGATATTGCTAATTTTGACCCAAGCTATTTCCATAACCCCTTTAGCCCCAACAGCAGATGACCATTTAGTAACATGAATAACAGCCCCGCTAGTTTTAAGAGTGATTTTCCCCACATAGCAAATTTGGGCCACTGCTCGAGGATTAGGAAAGCGCACTACAAAGGTTCCTGGTCCTATTGCATGAGCTGAACAGCACCAATCAGTAGCTAAGTAAGCAGATAAATCAAGTTCCATTTGTCTAGTAGATGTTTCTCCCTCTACAATCGTGACCACAATGTTATTAGCCCTCTCTTTAAGCTGGTTGGCGGAGCAAGCGTCATGAATATAGTAAAACCCTTGCCCTTTGCCCTGGAACGCACACATCGGTGCCACACATTCCCATGGCAGAAATTCAGTACAAACAGAAGCAAGGTGTCCTAATTTGCCGCATCTTTCACAATATGCTTGAGGGCATAGAATAGGAGGATGTTCATAAGACTTGCAAATGGGGCAGGCAATGGATTTTTTGGACGGAGACACCTGAGCAGGGTTTTGTATTCCCTGTATGTGGCGCCGAGGTGAAGCAGATTGATGCCCGGTGGAGATGCCGCCAGATTCGGACTATTCCTTGGCCTTCTGCACCCAGATCCCGCCGTCTTGGTCGCGATGCTTGGGCGCCGCCGCCTCGTCCCACCGTGAGGCGCCCTCCGAGGCCGGCGCGATTGTGGAGGATGTAGAGTTGGTGTGGCCGCTTCCCTCGTCCCGCTTCCATGAGAACTTGCTGCGGTCGCCTCCGCGACCGTTGCCACGGCCAGGTTGCCGCCCTCCTCCGCGGTTCGCATGTCCCGCTCCGCCCCCTCCACGGTTCCCACGCCCCACCTCGGTCGCCATGGGAGGTGGTACCTTAGCGGCCGCGACCTCCGCAAAGGATCTGGGATCCCCTCCGACCTTGCCCTTCCACCACTCGAACGACTCCGAATTTCTCGATCTAGGGTTTTTCTCCGCCGCCCAGAAGTGGGAGAGTGAATCCTCTAGGTCAAGGATCGGGCGAGGCGGGGGCTTTATACCAGTGTTTCCCACCTGCCGATGGGGATGGATGGCCGGATCAGCTCCCACGTGGCTTGCATCCGCCATTGGCGGGCGGTGAGTGGGGCTTGGGTCCGTTTCGCCTGGACTTGGCCCACGCACACGCAGCCCCGTGCCCTTCCCGTGTACCGCATTGCCACGTCCCTCGCCCCGCGCCTCCTTCGTCGGCGTAGCGCTCGCCGCCGGTAGTCGATCTCGAATCTTCGCGAAATGACACGGGAAGGAAACAATCTCGCCGATGTCGACGATTTCCCCCGAACGGAGAAACCGTGCGTCCACCGTAACTCCGCGCCTGTTCGAGAGAACGAGGCGGAGAGCGTCTCGCCGTAGCGTGAGCACGCCGTCGGAGAAGGAGACTGTGCGTGTGATGAGATCGGCGGCGAAGGAAACCCGCCATCGCATATCCTGTTCGTCGCCAGTCGTGTTGCTACTCGAGCATGCCATATCTCTGATGTTGTCACACCCTGCAGTCAATGGCAGCTGCTGCTAGTCATCCTCCCACTCGTTTCCCTATAAAATGTTATTTTGGTGCACCAAGACATTGATAATTAAATTAGTAAATACCTAAGATCTGGATAAATAGTATTTTGAATTGCTGTTAATTAATATGTTTCTGAATTGACCGAAGTAAGTTGTATGGCATGCAGATTGACAATACCGATAACCCATTGAGAGTGAAGGAGGAAGCCGAGAAACAAGGGATAATCTGCATATCCGCCATGAATGGTGATGGTTTGGAAGAGTTCTGCAATGCAATCCAAGCAAAGTTGAAAGTATGAGCTGTTTCGGTTCTGGACTTTTGAGGCATGTGGTGCATCTTTAATTTATCTGAGGTGAATCACGCCTATGTATGTGTCTTGTGCAGGACTCACTGGTGCCCATAGAAGCTTTTGTTCCGTATGACAAAGGAGATCTGTTAAATGACATACATAAGGTTGGAATGGTTGAGAAAACGGTGAGTGTCCTGTTTGCTCATTGAAAGCAAAACATCAACTCATTTTTTTTAAATACGGAGTACCCCGCTATGAAGTCAATCCAAACCCAGCATGTAAATTTCATAAACTACAAAAAAGGAGGACGCAAACTTTGAGATTTTTATGACCTGGCGCAATCAATCTTACCTGCAGGAGTACATGGAAAATGGCACGTTGATAAAAGCACATGTGCCTCTACCTCTTGCAAGGCTTCTCACGCCGTTGCGGCAGCAGGTGGCTGCTCCTCTATGATCATCCCTTTTCCAGCTCGAGTCCATCATCGGCCGTCATATGGTTTTTGTTGGCGGGCGACGTACAAAGTTTAGTAGGAGAGATTATCTTGTTTCCCACTTGACCTTTGTAGGGCAGCAAGTACACAGTTTTCGCAACAATAACAAGTACACAGTTTTTTTTCCTCAAATGATAACACCCATAAGTGTGGGCGTTTGCAACTTGGTCCAAACGCATCCGCTGCGGTTGGATGCTGTTGCACGAATCTCACAGCAGAGAGAGGGGGGTTCGTGTGCCACATCATCCCATGGGGGTGTGCGGGCGTTAGAGAACTCGCCCGAACGCCTGCAACCGCGGTTGGATTAGCGCGATTGCCACCCTCGCTGTGCGGGAGGTTGCCACATCGCCCGAACAACCCACGAACGCCACCTTCGCCCCCCATTTCACTCCGTCTCGCGTATTCACTCACAGTCTTCTCTCATTCCATATCTCACCCCTCTCATCCTCTTTGTCTCCCACATTGATGATGTCACAGCGTGATAACCCACAAGTGTAGGGGATCTATCGTAGCCTTTTCGATAAGTAAGAATGTCGAACTCAACGAAGAGCAGAAGGAAATGATAAACGGTTTTCAGCAAGGTATTCTCTGCAAGCACTAAAATTATCGGTAACATGTAATTTTGTGATAAGGTAATTTGTAACAGGTAACAAGTAATAAAAGTAAATAAGGTGCAACAATATGGCTCAATCCTTTTTGTAGCAAAAGACAAGTCTGGACAAACTCTTATATAAAGAAAAGCGCTTTCGAGGACACATGGGAATTATCGTCAAGCTAGTTTTTATCACGTTCGTATGATTCACGTTCGGTACTTTGATAATTTGATATGTGGATAGACCGGTGCTTGGGTACTGCCATTACTTGGACAAGCATCTCACTTATGATTAACCCCTATTGCAAGCATCCGCAACTACAACAGAAGTATTAAGGTAAACCTAACCATAGCACGAAACATATGGATCCAAATCAGCCCCTTACGAAGCAACGCATAAACTAGGGTTTAACCTTCTGTCACTCTAGCAACCCATCATCTACTTATTACTTTCCAATGCCTCTCTCTAGGCCCAAACAATGGTGAAGTGTCATGTAGTCGACGTTCACATGACACCACTAGAGGATGGCAACATACATCTCATCAAAATATCGAACGAATACCAAATTCACACGACTACTTATAGCAAGACTTCTCCCATGTCCTCAGGAACAAACGTAACTACTCACAAATCATATTCATGTTCATAATCAGAGAGGTATTAATATGCATAATGGATCTGAACATATGATATTCCATCAAGTAAACCAACTAGCATCAACTACAAGGAGTAATCAACACTACTAGCAACCCACAGGTACTAATCCGAGGTTTGTATACAAAGATTGAATACAAGAGATGAACTAGGGTTTAAGATGAGATGGTGCTGGTGAAGATGTTGATGGAGATTGGCCCCCTCCCGATGAGAGGATCGTTGGTGATGATGATGGTGATGATTTCCCCCTCTCGGAGGGAAGTTTCCCCGGCAGAACAGCTCCGCCGGAGCCCTAGATTGGTTCCGCCAAGGTTCCGCTTCGTGGCGGCGGAGTTTCGTCCCGTGAGCTTGCTTATGATTTTTTCCTCGACGAAAGACTCCATATAGCCAAAGATGGACATCAGAGGGCCACCAGGGGGCCCATGAGGCCACCCTCGTGGATGGTGGGTAGCCCCCCTCTGGTACTTTCTTCGCCCAATATTTTTTATATATTCTGAAAATAATTCCCGTGGAGTTTCAGGACTTTTGGAGATGTGCAGAATAGGTCTTTAATATTTGCTCCTTTTCTAGCCCAGAATTCCAGCTGCCGGCATTCCCCCTCTTCATGTAAACCTTGTAAAATAAGAGAGAATAGGCATGAGTATTGTGACATAATGTGTAATAACAGCCATAATGCAATAAATATCGATATAAAAGCATGATGCAAAATGGACGTATCAACTCCCCCAAGCTTAGACCTCGCTTGTCCTCAAGCGAAAGCCGAAATCGAAAAATATTTCCACATGTTTAGAGATAGAGGTGTCGATAAAATAAAATATGGACATGAGGGCATCATGATCATTCTTAGAACAACGACATATACATATATTGTCATATGATCTCTTATGCTAAAATCTTTCCCTACTAATAAAGCACGGAGTGCTTCTGGTCGTCCGTCATTAAAAGTGCCCTTGAAGTTGTAAGTAATTACCCACCATGCCATTGGTAAGTGGAAAAAACGGTTCAGTTTACCCTTTTCTAAAATCCGCGACCTACTCAAGTTATTAAAGTGAAGCCCCTGTAATCAACAGCTTGCATGTGTGTGGCGCAGTGGTGTGAGGCTCGCCTGTTTACCTGGGAGACCCAGGTTCGAGTCCCCTTGCTCCCTTTTCCTTCTTTTATTTTTCTCTCCTATTAATGTTGGTAGGCGTAGGATATTACTACTCGCTCCAGCGTCACTTAGCAGATGGGCAGCACAATGTACCAGTTACTCTATTTTTTAGACATATTCATATATTTCAAAAAAAAATCATAACTTTCAAACCCTAACTCCAAATCTAACATGTTATGTATAGAAATCCCTTAAAAAGATGTGTAGATTTCAAATATGGTATTATATTAATCACTTTCAATGTCAAAAAAACTCATAACTTTCAAACCCTAACTTCAAATCTAGCATGTTATATATAGAAATCCCTTAAAAAGATGTGTAGATTTCAAATATGGTACTATATTAATCACTTTCAAATCCTAACGCCAAATCTAACATGTTATATATGGAAATCCCTTTAAAAAGATGTGTAGATTTCAAATATGCTATTATATTAATCATCATTCCTAAAATTCCATTTATGATGCAACCTTTATTAATATCTTCTTTATATGGGGTATTTTGAAAATCCCGGCTTAACGTTGATATTTCTGTAGTCTAATAAATTGGAAACATGTTGAATACATTTCACAAATAATACAACCTTATGAACTTACACCACTTATCATGTTGTTTCTCGTGGGGCATTGTGAAAGATTTGAAGGGATTCGCCGATGCTCTCAGGTGTGCGTATGAGGGATGATTTTTTTCCGTTGCAACACACTGGGAATAATTCCTTTCCATGGAATCTGAAGCATGCATGGTTAAAAAAGAAATTCCGAATCATACACCTGATTTCATGAAAATTATTGTGACCTCTTCAAATAGAAAATTCGTTTTAGTGTGGTATGTGCAAATCTGTTTATTATGTTTCCTTCTATATGAAAGAAAATTGAGTTGTACTTTAGACTTTATAGGTCTCCGTGCATGTAAGTTTAGAAGAAATTTGGTAACGAAAATCAGTAATGGGCATCTGGTAACTTACCAATTAAACCTTAATTTCTTATATATGTACATACATGTACGATCCTCATGATTTAGGCTCTCAATGATAAATCAAATGATGAAGGTAATGACTCATTATACTACAAATTAACTAGGAAGGTAATTTAGATATTTAAATTAATCAATTCTTTCAGGATTGAAGTGTAGCATCTCATACATGCATTTTAAGATCATTGGTAAAATATACATTACATGGCTGATGCAACAGAATGTTATCTTGGGTCATTGGGCTAGGGAGGTGTGTTTTGATTCTCCCGGTGCAACCCACGGGCATATTTACTAGTTACTAATAAAGCGGCTATGGCTTCTGGTCGTCCGTCATTGAAATTACCCTTCAAGGTGGTAAAAATTACCCACCAATGCCACCCGTAAGTGGAAAACGATTCAAGTTTTCGGACTAAAAATCGCCACCTCATTCGCTGATTTATAGGGGCGCGACGAGTAGAAGTGGCAGAACAACAAGCAGCAGGGTGGTTGGCCGATCGTTCCTCCACCGAGGAGGGCAGGGTTCGATCCCCAGCTTGCACAAATTTAATCTTTCTTTTCTCATCCATGTATGCGTTCATGGGCCGGCCCATGGCTTTACTCCCCTGTTTCTTCTCATTTTACTTATTTGTCTTTTCTGTTTTCTTTCTTTTTTAAATTAATTCGGGTTTTAATATTCTAAAAGCTGCGAGTTTTTAAAAAAAATGTTTGAAAAATCATAAAATATATGCGAATTTAGAAAATCATAAATTTTTTGCAGATTCAAAAAATGTTGGTGGTTTTGCAAAACTGTTCGCAAAGTTGTACAAAAATCACAATTTGGAAAACTGGTTGGGAAATAAAATCATGTTCATGATTTTGAAAAAATGATCATGTATTCAAAACATATTCGGGAATCCGAAAAACATTTTCTAAAATGATCATTTATTTTTATAGTTTTGCCTCCCAACCTTTTACCTCAAGGGTAATGTCAACAATAATAGTTCATGAAAACTCACATCCAATTAGCCATATATATCAGGATCTTTCCAACACGTTGTGCTTGCCAAAGGATAAAATGTAAAAAGGAAGGGTGAAGATCACCATGACTCTTTGCATAAAGTATAAGACATGAATAAAAGATAGGACCTTCACGAAGGGAAGCAGAGGTTGCCATGTGCTTTTATGGTTGGATGCACAAAATTTTAATGCGAAAGAACGTCACTTTATATTGCCACTTGTGATATGGACCTTTATTATGCAGTCCGTCGCTTTTATTTCTTCCACATCACAAGATCGTATAAAGCTTATTTTCTCCACACTAATAAATCATACATATTTAGAGAGCAATTTTTTATTTCTTGGAATGATGACAACTTACTTGAAGGATCTTACTCAATCCATAGGTAGATATGGTGGACTCTCATGGCAAAACTGGGTTTAAGGGTATTTGGAAGCACAAGTAGTATCTCTACTTGGTGCAAAGAATTTGGCTAGCATGAGAGGGAAAGGCAAGCTCAACATGTTGGATGATCCATGAAAATATAATTTATCTTAGATGTGAGAAAACATAACCCATTACGTTGTCTTCCTTGTCCAACATCAACTCTTTAGCATG